TGGGGGCTATGAAATGCACCATCGATATCAAGAATCCCTTTCACAATGATAAGGTGGGACACCTCTTTTTTCGTTTTAAATCTTATGTATCTTATATCAGCATTAATATGAAATATCAAAATTAAAGTACTTTTACTAATGTAAAATATAATTTAATTACATAAAAAAATAAAATTTTAATATTTGTTGCGGAATTTGTTTATTTTAAAGAAAATATTGGATAAATTTAATTAGATTTTTGAGCAGGAATTTAATATACTAACTAAGAATTTTTTTATACAACTAATCACTTTATTAAAAAGCAATATTTAATATTAACACATATTTCCAAATTGATTTTTGTTTAATAAGAGTCGAGTAATAAAGTGGTGATATTAGATAAAATAGTGATTTGGTTTAGTTTTTCCATGATCAATATTTTATGCTTAAAAATAGACTTATATTTTGATTGATGAGAAACTCGTGATTTGATTATACGTTTATAAATAATTATTATTTTATTGAAATATAACAACTCATTATTCTGTCTTTTAGTAACTGTATAAGAACTCAAATTCAGTAATAAATTATGTTACTCATTTTTTAAATTATTTTTAACATATATTTCATTTACTATTTAATAAATACTCTTTGAAAATTGTAAATATTAATATCGTATATACGAGAGAATATTCTTTGAAATTAAAGTCTTTATTCGTTAAATATTAAAAGCATTTGAATTTTGCTTTTATTTTCTATATAATAAAAATGAGAAATTGTGGCTAATATTAGACTTTTAATTCGCATTGAATGCCAGTGTTTTCATTTTTCTCAAAGATATGTATCACAAAAAATATATGAGAAATTGAATTTGAAATTAAATTTCTCGATAGTATTTGTGCCAAAGTGTGTGTTTCAAAAGAGTTTTTGTCATTAAATCGATTTTCTGTATTAATAAAAAAGAATTCAAAGTTTATTTAGTTGTGAAATTCTCATTCAATTCTGTTATAAGTTTTCTAATTTCCTCCAAAAATATGAAACCAATTCTCAATTAAATACCTTTGGAATAAAGACCAGAATAACTGCCAATACTATGAGAATAATCCATAAAATATTAATATAAGATCTATATATGAGATGTGAATTTTGGTTCTCTCTCCACAGTCTGTATTCATGAATGTCTTTGAATCGATTTGTTTGACCGAATGGTAACTCGAATTGCGATCTCATCGGAAATATTGATTCATAAAACTCGACTAACATTTGTTTGACTTGAATTACATGACGATCTGCCTTTTGGTGATCAATGTTATCATTCAAACAGAGAAATTTCTTCAACTGTTTGCTGAGTTGATCCAAATCTTGTGCCACAATTGTTGCGTTAGATCTGATCATTTTGAAGACCACCTCCTCCTCGCCTATGATCTCAAATTTGTTTCGTTTTTGCTTTTCATGAATTTGTGTTAATTTATTCGTCACATTCTCGCAGTCGACGACTAAAGACTTTGAAAACTCTATTGACTGAACAAACGCTCAAGAATTAGATATACAAGTGTTAAGAATCTCAAGAAATCTCAAGAATATCAGAATATTCTTGTGATATAAATCTCAAATCATATTGAGACCAAAAAATCAATACTTAGCGTTCAATTACTTGTTTCTGTTCGCTGTGTAGTCCTCTATAATAATATTGTGAAATATTCACATTGTTTTGCACTCCAGCACACAAATTATCGCTTGAATTACAACATGTGAATAGCATTGTGTAAAACTCGTCTATAAATTCCACTTTTAGAGGCAATTCATAAATATTGATGATTACTGTCCGCACTTCACTCGCAGACCAGGTCCTAACACAAGTGAGCAACAAATACACACAACATATCATAATAACATTTATAAAAAAAACTTATAAATTTATATATTTTATGCATCAATTCTAAATTCTTTAGAGTATGCATACTATTATTGCCTTTTAGCATAGCTAAGTATAAAATTATTATTTCTAAAAATTAGGATTAATAATTTGTATAGAATTTTTAAGAATTTTTCTATAACTATTAAAACTGCTATTTTATATGATAATGAATATACCGTGAATTGTCGACATCGAAGTGATCAAAGAGTTGTGAGACATTGAATTGGTTGAGTTCACTCATCAAATAGTAATTGTATGCAAAGGCAAACTGCAT